TGGCTCAAACATTTTGGTGATCATCCGTTGAAATGTTGCCCCTGCATTTTTTAGGCCAAAGGGCATGACCATGAGTGTTGTAAACGATATGACCTCTTGGTTCGGTTCATACATAGCGATCTGATGGTAACCATGATACACATCAAGAAAGCTAAGTTGGTTATGACCTGCAGTTAGGTCCACTAGTTGGTCTATTTGTGGTAGAGGGAAGTTCTCTTTTGGGCATGCTTTATTGACCGTCTTGTAGTCCACACATATATGCCATTTGTCGTTCTTTTTTGGTACCACACTGTGTTGGAAATCCACTTGGGATAGTGTACTTCTCTGATTGCTTCTATTTCTAGTAGGTTTCCCACTTCTTCTGCTACTATCTCTGCATGGTGAAGTGCCGATCGGCGAGTTCGTTGTATAATTAGTTTGGCGATTGGGTGGACTTTGAGTTGATGACAGATGAAGTTGGGGTCAATGCCAAACATGTCATACGGTGTCCAGGAAAACACTTCGATGTTAGAGGTCAAAAACTCCATAATCTCTATTCTCTTGGTGCTAGACAGAGTCGAGCCGAGCAAAAAGAACCTCTCTGGATTTTTCTCATCTATCCTTACCTCTACCAAGTCTTCCACTACTTTCTGTTTGGCTGCTTTGCCGACGTCTGCGAACAGCTCGTTACTTTCTGAGTCCTCCACCATTTGTACGAACCCTTTTGCAGCCTGGCTGCTGTTTACTATTACGAAGCACTGCTCGGACATGATTTGGTCTCCTAAGACCTCTTCAATCACTCCAGCTTCGTTAGGGAACCGTATGACCTGATGGTAGGTTGATGCTACTGCCCGTATGGCATGAAACCACGCTCTTTCCAAGATTATGTTGTAAGTGGAAGGGACTTTCAATACGCAGAATTCCACTTGTTTTGTCATCGTTCCAACTTTGAGTGGCAAAATTATCTTACCTACTAGCCATTTTGGCATTGAGTTGAAGCCGACCAAAAGAAATGTCGCGGGTGCCAAATCTTTGTCCTCCAATTTGAGTTGCTTGAAGGTCTCATAGTACATTATCTCGCATGAGCTCCCTTGGTCAATCATGATCCCCTTGATGTCGAAATTCTTGACGCGCAGAGTAACCACTAGTGCGTTGTTGTGAGGGCTTTGTAGCCTTGCTAAGTCTTTATCAGAGAAGGTGATAACGTTTGTTGCCTCCATTTTTTCCTTTTTCATGGGAGGTTGTGCACTCAGTATCTCTCTCATGTGCTCAGCCTTCTTGATCATCCCTCTGAGTTCACATACTCGTTCAGGCTCGATGATCCCATGTATCACATTGATTATGCCTTAGGGTTGCCTACGCTCCTCCTTCAATGTATTGGTCTAAGTGGCTTGTAGCCACTAACTCCTCTAAATGCTGCCTTAATGGTGTACAGTTTTCAGTTCGGTGTCCCTTTTCATCATGGAAGGTGCAACGGTACTTATCATCGTAGCTCATTTGTGCTTCTCCCAACTTGGTTGGCCGCCAAACGAAGAGTTCATCGCGTATCTCGCTAATAATCCGGTAGATAGGTTTATTAAACACCGTGGTGATGGCAGTGCGGACTCTTAACTTCCTTGCCGGGGAGTCCTCATCGTTGGCTCATCTGCCCTGACTATTTCTATTTAGTTATTCTTTCCGCTCGACTATGTTAACTTTTGCCGCAGATTTTTTGTCTGACATCGTTGTTGTGCTAGATTTTGCTTTGGCGTAAGCGCCATCTTCTCCTACCCACGCGAATATATTGGTGCACTCTTTCCATTAGGGCCTCCATTGTGAGGGTGGCGTCATTGTCATTAAATCCCTCAATTTATTGCCTGCCGGCAAACCTCGTTTGTACTGTGCAATAGTTAGGTTTGTGGGGCAATCTCCTATCAGATTAAAAGTTTGCCAATACTTGTTGTTATAAGGCTTCAATATTTCCTTCTCACCCATGTCTATAGAGAGCAGCTAGTCAATCTCCACTGGCGTCTTGGTGTTTGTTCTAAACTTGGTCACAAATGCCTCCGTAAGTTGTACCCATGAAGCTATGCTGCCTTATGGAAACTTCTCAAACCATGCCAAACCCAGGTCGCCTAGGCTAGATGGAAACAGGATACACATTAGAGCCTCGTTTCATCGATACACGGCCACAACCTGGAGAAAGTGGCAAAAGTGCATGTAGGGGTCTGACTTCCCCTCATAAGTTGTAAATTTAGGCTAGTGGAAGCCTAAGGGTAATGGTGCGTTCTCAATCGTCGGAACGAACGGCGAGCTCTGCAATCTTGGTAACGCTTTGTCTGCTGGTTTGTAGGCAAGGCGTGGTACTGGCATTCCAACCTCGACACTCCCATGTGTCCTAGGAGCTAACCATTGTAGGGCAGAGACCCTTCGGGGGTTGTTGGCTTGGGTGTCTTCTCTCCTACGAGCCCTTTCTTCTAGTACTGTCTGCAGATCTACCGACCTAGGCAACTCCGTGTGCCTAGATGTCGTTTGGTGCGTATGCGAGGGCCGATAACTGCTTCCCTCCGTACAAGACCTTTCAGTCCTCGTTCTTTCAAACCTAGAGTAACGAGTCCTAGAGGTTCTTGACTGCATGTCGCCTGTCCTGAGGCTTTTGCTTTCGGTCTAAGATGATGTGACTTGCCCATCACGATCTCGTGAGTGGCGAGAGTGCGTTCTGCTTTTGCCAATCTCTTCTTCTGCCACCCTTTTGCCTTTTATCTGGCGCGTCATAGTCTCCATGTCAGCCGCCATTCTCCTTATCACTTCATCTTGTTCCTTTACGCGATCTTCCAAAACCTGAGGATCCATTCTCTGCCTCTGTCCATTAGGGCTTTGAGAGCGGCGTAGACTTGAGCCCTGTTGTTCTCGTGCATCTCTCTGTGGGTTCCGTCGCTGGGGATCCAATTCTTCCATGGACAGAACAAAAGGCAAACCTTCGCGCCTCCCGCCTCCTTCCGGAGTCTACCCATCATTAGCAGAATGTGGCAAGTCCTTGTTATGCGCCATTAACATTGATTGAAGGAAAACTCAATCAAAAGGTTTGTTCTCTATATGTATTCCCACAGACGGCTTCAATTGTACGAGCACGAAATAATCTTCTCGTGTAATCCTGTTAATCAAGTTTGCACTCCTCCAAACATTGTCGCTTTAGTACCTGAAAATACAAACGTGAGCTAGCCGGCGGGGGTGTACCGGAAACCTCTCTGATGCTTAAGTCAGCAAAGTAGACAATAGACACAAAAGCTCCGTGTATTTGAAAATAAGAATTGTGATACCTGTGTATAGGTCCTGTCATGACCTTTTATAGATTCTGCCTAGCACAATCCTAGTAAGATTCTAACTTTCCTCAGCAGAGTCCTGTTATGAATCACACTCCCAAGAATCATGTCTATCCTGATAATACTCTGCTCACTGCCAACCAAGTGAGATGGTTGCAACTCTTACTTCGATTGGTACCACACTTAACTGAGCTTACATGGCTCGGTGCTGCTTTAGGCAACACTGATGTAGTCCTAACTGTGAGATGGCACCCTGTAGAGCTACCCTTAGCTCGGTCCTCTATGGGGTTTAGCCTGGGATAGCTAGGTCAGGCCCTTGGCAGCACATCTTTGACCGACTTGATGCCTAGATGATCTAAGACCTTTCTATTCAAACATTTACTTCAGTCCGTAGTTCGGCTCAACATCTAAGATAAATGGACTTAGCTCGGCCCAAACTATTCACATAAATTACCCTCTCATATTTAAATTTAAAAAAATATTAATTAAATTTATTTAGGTGTTAATCACACAATACCAAATTTTAGATTTACCTCGTATATTTAAATTTTAGATTGTTATAAACATTTTTCCAAATACGTAAAGTTTATGAGAAGCCGAGCACTCACGTGTAAGCCATTGACTTGTGGTCACCATCCTAGCACGTTTTTGGCTTGTGAATTTGACTGCATTCATTAATTTTCTTTTGGAATTGCGATAAACATGGAGTGCCAATACCTGTAATTTTGGCATTTAGATATTAAAAGATATTGCTATCAAAACATCATGTTAGGAGCATATTTATTGGTGTGTACTTGAGCCATCACAAAAGACCCCTTCACCAGTACGCCAAATCTTGAATCAAAATATGACAATGTCATATTAACAAAATCATTTATGATTACTAAATATTTTTTGAAAAATAAATTGAATGGTTAAAAATTGATAGGGCCCAAATAATACGGAAACCATTGTAATAGGATAGTTAAAAATGACTTTTTTGCACTATAACAAATTAAAAAATAACTATGACAATTGTTTTAACTTTTATCGTTGGAATTGCTCTAACGACTTTTTGCTGGATTAGAAAAAGTGAGGGAAGATGGTGTAATTTCAGAAATTATAGTAGAAGATATCTTCTGAGGGCAAAGCTAAAACATGTACTCCAAAGTAAAGGAGGCCCTTAATTTAATTTTTTAATGAACCTTTTTAGGTTAAGGAAATACTAGATCTCCGTAAATGTGTATGCTGTTAAAATTTTGTGAAAAATAATGTAATGCTCATTTTCTGTCGGGAGTTTGTGATGCTAATAAGAAGCCTGTAAAATACTAACATCAACATTGTTAATTGCTTCTAACTATTGGGATTCTTCAAAAACGTATTTCATTTCCTTCAAAATCTAAATTTTTTACTTTAACCCTCTTTTAGAATTTTTTTGAATCCACCCACAAATTCTAACAAAATGTATTATAACAAAACAAAAGCAACTTGAATAATGCCTTCATTGGAAGATCAAAATATTTCCGAGTGCTCATTCAACAAATAAATTTGTGAGTACTATAGAAAAATTATTCCGAAAACTATCCAGAAAAGTAAATTTATGGAACACATTCATTGTGTGTGGGTCCACATGCCACTGATTTTAAATTTACACCATACACCTTATTTTCGAGTTAAATTTTGAAATAAAAATTTGTGGTACATGACATTTTTGTGTTCACATAAGTAAAGAACTGGTATTCATAAGCAACTTTGTGGGACAATTACACCAGTGCTGGTACCACCAATATGTCTGCAAGATGCTTGAGCTGGTTTGTTGAGATAACTGAGCTTTATGTCTTGTAATCTGATACCCTTGCATGGATTGCTTGGACTGCAATCAAATGTCACTGCAACTTGTGTTGCGGATGTTCCATGTATATTTTTGTATGTCACTTCACTAATCTTCACACCTGAACTCTGTATAAATTTAAAAAAAGAAAATTCATTATCATAAAACTAAAGAGATGAAGTTTTATTTTTGATGTTTAAATTATCAATATCTGACCTGGCTAGGGCAACCTTGGTTGTTAGGGCAATAATTTTGATAGATGATGATAGGGTTCTGGACATTCCTCATCAAGATGTTCTGAAATGAAATGTCCCTCACAAAGGCTTTGCTAGGTCTAGCCCATGACTTTATACTCACGCCATTGTCGGATCCGGTGAAAATTGATTTTGTTAGGGTTATATTTTGGACACCATCCTCATTAAGCTCCTTTGCCAGGCTACCAAGGCTGCCATAAGGGTAAAAAATATGCCAATGGGAATGTTTTTAAAAACTACAATAATGTGTTGGGAAAATTCAAAGCACTACGATTGCTCTATAATTGGACTGCTTTATATGATAAAATGCAAAAGTGAAGTTAGTGAAATATTTCAAACTAATTTTTGTCTTGTTAAAAAAAAAAATTATAAGTTTTAGAAGTTTCCAAAATCAAATTATAGAGGGCAAATGGAAATTCGACAAGGATGACCATTAAAGAAAGGAAAGTCGATAGAGTTCATAAAATTTCAATAGAGTTTAGAAAATTTTTTGCAGTGAACATTTGTTACACATCAATAATATTTTCTTTTTGCTAATAAAAAGAAAATTTGGACAAGCAGGTGTTAGAAAGTACCAAAACTGGAGGACCACTACAAATGAGGTGACCCAAAAGCCCAATGGGCCAGGCAAAAGAACACAACACATGGGTCCAAGTTTTGTGTATATCCAAAAGAGAGAATTACTAGGGGCCTGACAACAAACGTACCCAGTTTTATGACAACTTTTAGGTGTAGGGTATCAAATTCAGACCATGTGGCTTTAAAAAATCATATCAATATAATAGTCATGTATTGAGATAGGACACCATGGACCGATATATTGGTGAACAATATTATCAAAATTTTAAAATTTCAATATGCATTGATTCAATATTTAAAATCATGATCTAAACAAACTGAAGAGGAATTCGTACCTGACACTATGGCCAGGACCACATCGTATGCCTTCCATCCACAAGTTTCTGGTCCTTGGACCTATCGATATGTGATCATCTCCGGTCCTTATGCTGTTGCCGGAGATTGTTACCCTAATGGACAACTGGACATGAATTCCGTCTGTGTTTGGGCTCTGATCTAGTGCTATAATCTTCACGTTACGAATCATCACATTGTTGCAGCTGTTGATTAGGGGTGGGTGCGGGTCGGTTGTGGCCATGGAATTTTCAATCCGCCATCTGTCCGCCAATCCGGCGAATGTGGATTGAGCGGATTGGCGGTTTAGCGGATGGATGCGAATTGATTTGGCAGTTTAAAATTTTGTAAATTTTTAACATAATTCAACTTTAGCACTTCCTAAAAAATATATATATATATATATATTACAGTCAATGACTTAAAAAAATATTTCAATCATTGCATGCTTCATCCAAAGCAAGAAAGTTTAAAACTTTAGAATATCACAATCATTGCATGCCTCATCCACATACTACAATCATAACATGCCTCATCCACATAAAGTATTACAATCTGTTGTTCTCAAAATATAAAAATAATTCAAACCCTTAAAATCATGAACAGAGCAATAGTAGAGATTGTATATCTCTGTATTGTTACATCCACTACAAAAAAAATGCTTTTTTGCGACAGTAAAATGCCGTCGCAAATACCTAAAATGCCGTCTCAAAAGGTTTTTTGCGATGGTAACTGGCTTTTTGCGACGGCAAGTGGGGGGTCACAACAAAGGGGGTTGCAAAAGGGTTTTAGCGACGGCATAACGTTGTCGCCTTTTTTTTACGACGACAAAAAGCCTTTTTGCGACTGAAAAATCTTGCCGGTATTAAGGGATGAAAATCTGAGTTTTTTTGAGATGGCACTGTGTTGCCGTCGCTAAAAGGGTTATTTGCGATGGGAAAAACACCATCACTAAAGGGTTATTTGAGACAGCACCTTATGCTGTTGCTAAAGTACTATTGGTGACGGTAAATAACACCGTTGCTAAAAGTCTTCATTTTCAACTAATTCCCCTATCTTTTGCGACAGCATTACTGCCGTTGCAAAAAACCCTGGTTCTATTTTCTTTTTGAGACGGTGTGTGTGGTACTGTTTAAAAAAAAAAAAAATTGTAATAAAATTATTAAAAATATGAAAATAACCTGTATTAAATGAAAAATAACTATAAAAAAAAATCGATAATTACATAATAATATAAAAAGTCCAGTATATAAATAAAAATTCATCCATAATTAAAATATTCTTCCATTCATAACAATACATCAGCAAAATTATCCCACTACATAATGTTGCATAATACATACATAATGTTGTTTACAAATCTAAATAACGTAAATCAAAAACAAAAGTATTCGTCATGATTCTTCCGTGGGTTGTAAAAATAAAAGTTGGTCATAATCTTTACACGCTTGCATTCCACAAGAAGCAAACTGCTACTCAGGAAATATCTGAAAATAACAAAATAAAAATAATTAATGACAATATAATTGTGTTAATATTTTAATTACAGAAAAACATAAAAAATTAACTACTGTATAATTACAAAGAAAGTTTAGTAAATAATTTTGGCTAGGCAGAAATCTGGCCTTAACTCCCAAATCGGAAACCCGATTGGAGTTCCGTCTTCTCCCACAAGTCTTTCGTGCCTAGGCGTTCGTGTGTGCCAAGGTTCTTGCTAAATCGACGTCGTTTGGTGATTTCGGGGGGTCAACACCTCAAATTCAAGTTTCTTATGGAACTAGTTTGCCTAAACCGAAATCCGGCTCTAACTCCCAAACCAGAAACCCCATTGGAGTCTCGTCTTCTCCCATAAGTCTCTTGTGCCTAGGCGGTCGTGTGTGCCAAGTTTTGTGCTAAACCGACGCCGTTTGGTGATTTTGGGGTGTCAACACCTCGAATTCAAGTTTCTTAAGGAACTAGTTTACCTAGACCGAAATCTGACTCTGACTCCCAAACCGAGAATCCGATTTGAGCCCCGTCTTCTCCCACAAGTCTCTCGTGCCTAGGCGGTCGTGCGTGCCAAGTTTCGTGCTAAACCAACGTCGTTTGGTGATTTTGGGGCATTAACACCTTGAATTCAAGTTTCTTAAGGAACTAGTTTGCCTAAAGTGAAATCTGGCTCTAACTCCCAATCCAGGAACCCGATTAGAGCCCCGTCTTTTCTCACAAGTCTCTTGTACCTAGGCGGTCGTGTGTGCCAAGTTTCGTGCTAAACCGACGTCGTTTGGTGATTTTGGGGGCGTTAACATCTCGGATTCAAGTTTCTTAAGGAACTAGTTTGCCTAAAGTGAAATCCGCCTCTAACTCCCAATCCGGGAACCCGATTCGAGCCTCGTTTTCTCCCATAACTCTCTCGTGCCTAGGCGGTCATGTGTGCCAAGTTTCGTGCTAAACCGACGTCGTTTGGTGATTTTGGGGCGTTAATACCTCGAATTCAAGTTTTTTAAGAAACTAGTTTGCCTAAAGTGAAATCCACCTCTAACTCCTAAACCGGGAACCCGATTGGAGTCATGTCATCTTCCACAAGTCTCTCGTGCCTAGGCGGTCGTGTGTGCCAAGTTTCGTGCTAAACCGACGTCGTTTGGTGATTTTGGGGCATTAACACCTCGAATTCAAGTTTCCTAAGGAACTAATTTGCCAAAAGTGAAATCCGGCTCTAACTCCCAATCCGAGAACCCGATTCGAGTCTTGTCTTCTCCCACAAGTCTCTCATGTTTAGGCGGTCGTGTGTGCCAAGTTTCGTGCTAAACCGACACCGTTTGGTGATTTTGGGGCGTCAACACCTCGAATTCGAGTTTCTTAAGGAACTAGTTTGCCTAGACCGAAATTCGGCTCTAACTCCCAAATCGGGAACCCGATTAGAGTCCCGTTTTCTCCCACAAGTCTGTCGTGCCTAGGCAGTCGTATGTACCATGTTTCGTGCTAAATCGACGTCGTTTGGTGATTTTGGGGCGTCAACACCTCGAATTTAAGTTTCTTAAGGAATTAGTTTGCCTAGACTGAAATTCGGCTCTAACTCCTAAACCGGGAACCTGATTGGAGTCCCGTATTCTCCCACAAGTCTCTCGTGCCTAGGCGGTCGTGTGTGCCAAGTTTCGTGCTAAACCGACGCCGTTTGGTGATTTTGAGGCGTCAACACCTCGAATTCAAGTTTCTTAAGGAACTAGTTAGCCTAGACCGAAAACCCGGCTCTAACTCCCAAACCAGGAACCCGATTGGAGTCTTGTCTTCTTCCACAAGTCTCTCGTGCCTAGGCGGTCGTGTGTGCCAAGTTTCGTGCTAAATCTGGCTCTAACTCCTAATCTGAGAACTCGATTGGAGTCCCATCTTCTCCCACAAGTCTCTTAACTTAGAATGTAAAGAATGCAAAGATACATTTTAGCTTAGAATGCAAAGATACATTTTATACCTGATCTTCTGGTGGTGGTGTATAGGGATTCTTGTCTTCTGCAGATTCTCTAAATGCCCGGTGGCCACTCGATGCATCAGAAACCTATGATAGTCAATGCATAATGTGTTAATCATATTCGAATTTTATACATAATGTTGTGTGAAAATTGAACTATCAAACAATTTAAATTATATCGAACATGTCTGTTGGGATCCACACTCGCCCCTTGTGACACAAAGGCTATCATCTCAGCTCTCATCTGCTGTAAATGTGTAGAGAACTCTACTCGCAGCTCCTCCCTCAACTCATCCCTTAGCTCCGTACGAACCTACTAGGTGATCTGAACAATAGTCGATGGCTGGGGTGTTGACTGTGATGGCCCAGCACCATCTTTATACACCGCTCTCCAAGGCACAGTTCTCCTGTATGTGCGACAATATCCATGTCCACCATGACCTATCAACTCATGAAAAATGGTATTCCTAGCCTCCAAAGTCCGACAATCCTCAGGTAGCATAGAGAGTTAACGATTAAACTCATCCTGTATTAAATAAGACATATATGCCAAATTAAGATGGTTGACACACAAAAAATAAAACTTTAAATACAATCAAAGGTGTTTGGAAACTACCAAGGTCTGGATAACCTCTGGGTTATCTGCTCTACGTGTCATAAGCCAAACATTCATCTTATCAGTAGACTCTCCCTTATTGATCATCTACAATTTTTTAGAAATATGAAAATTAGAATCCAAATAATTTGCAAATATACAATGTTTATTTATATACAAAAATAAAACAATAAAATATAAACCTCATGCCGTATCTGAGCGAAAGTAGTACGCCCTGTGGTATGAGCTATGTCGTGAGCTCGCTGATTTTTAGCGTTCCTAGTTGCAATTTCTATAACAGGTTTAACAAATGTAAGTATATAAATATGATTTGTATGTTTACATATCATACATATAACTTATTTGTATACCTCAGCATCGGAAGTACGCCAATACTCCACAAGTTCTTCCCGCTGGCTTGGCACAATGTACAAAGGAGCATCATCCTTTAGATTAGGATCAGAACTTCTAGGCTTGAAATACTTAGCCTTAATCTTATTCTTGTGATCCTTCCATATGCTGTTACAGTTTTTCATGCAGATTGGCTTGTACTCCTCTGGACATATATTCAAATTGTCCTATAAAACACAATTTCAAAGTTTAAATAATAATAACATAATTTTGGAATTTGAATTTTTGGACAAAAATATACTTTTACCTTCACATCCTTCCAAATAGCATCAACAATATCATCAGGCACATTGTTCCAGTCAAGAAAAGTAAGAGGAACAATGTTACAATTCCGCATAATAATGCCAAATTGAGTAGTTAACTTAGACACGTTATCCCCTGTTGGGCAGTAATTTTCATCAAATTGTATGTCCAACTTTGTACTAGTACCCCACTCCCTAATGCCCTTGGTACATCCTCTACCACAACTAGTCGAGGTTGATGAAGAACTAACATGACCTGTGAGATACAATAACAATAAACAATATGCAATGATAATAAACAAATGCAAATTTAAATAATGTGAATACAAATCGAATTCTTATACCTGAGGTGGGCTGTGAAGAAGTCGAAGGGTCTGTAAAATACAATGAGAATAAACAAGTTATATATAATGAGAATAAATAAATGTATATTTAAATAATTTTCATACAAATCAAAGTAAATTTATATACCTGCGGATGGCTTATAAGCTCATGACTCTAGTCGGAATGATA